CCTTTTTCCCTTTAAGTTGCTTTTTTTCAGAGTATTTTTATCACAGCAATAGGAAAAGTAACTAAGATAGAAAATTGGTACTGAGAAGTGGAGCTATTGTGGTAATCACCCTGACCATGTGGCTTTTAGGCTTTTGGAATTTTTTATCTAGTATGTGGAAGAGTTTGGTACTTTGGGCTAGAAAAACCCTAGCATACTAGAAGCAGAACTTAATGAGTAATTCTGATGGAAGCCTGGAAGACATGAATGCTGACAGAAATGTGGAAAGTGGTGGTCTGGTTCATGAGTTTTCAGAGGGAAACAAGAGCCCTCTCAGAAACCTGGATAGGGGCCATTCATGTGATATTTGGTCAGGAATCTTGCTTCACTCTGCCTGTGTCCTGAGAACTTGAGTGAAATTGAACTTAAAGCAGGGAGTGGTGCTACACACCTTTAATTCCGGCACTTTCGAGGCAGAGGTAGGTGGACCTCTGAGAGATCAAGGTCAGCCTGGTCTACACAGTGAGTTCCAGGTCAGCTGGGGTGACAGGGAGACCTTGTCTCAAAAAAACAAAACAAAACAAAACAAATCAAAACAACAAAATCCAACCACCCAACCACCCACCCAACCAAACAGAGAATACGCTTGGCAGAGGAAATTCAAGGCAGGAGAGTCAACATCATTCATGTGGTACTGCTTTTGCAAGCATGAAAGACTGAGGGTGAAATGGAGTCTTGCTGCATGGTTTCAGAGAGCAGCTGTGGCCAGGCAATGTGTGACAGGGTTGGAATCTTGCAAGGATGACCCGAGAGCCATTGTGTGAAGCTGTGAAGATAAAATCTAAGTTTCAGTGGTGATACTAGAATATTGAAGATGTCAGAACCATAGGATGTCCACACAGGAAAGTTGCATGCACTGAGTGGAGCTAATGCAAAAGAGAGGTTGTGTGTGCTACAGGTAGCAGACCTGGAAGAGTGGGGCTACATAATCACTTTGGAGACCAGGTGATTCCATCATGAGTCCAAGATGCCAGATATGGAGCTATAGGATTAGGTGTTTGCTCTGCTGGGTTTCCCTCTTGCTTTGGTTTGGTCATTCCTTGTTATGCCTTGATTCTTCTTTTCTGGAATGTGCCTTTGTATATTGAAACTATGTAACTTGGGTTTCAATGTTGTAGGTGCTCACAGATAAGAGAGTGCCTTGAGTCTCAGAAGAGACTTTGGACTTTTAAACAGTGTTCCAATTCTTAAAGACTACGAGGACTTTTGAAATTGAGATTGAATGAATTTTGAATTATGAGATGGCCATGAGTCTGTGATGAGGAGTAAGGGATTATGATTTAAAAAGGATATGTTTCAGTGTCAAATTGACAAGGGCTAGACTTTTGATGGTTAGTATTGTGTGGATTTGACAGGATCTAGAATTACCAAAGAGAAAAGCTTCTGAACATTCCTGTGAGGGATTATCTTAAATTAGCTTCTGGGCATTCCTGTGAGGGATTATTTTGATTAGGTTAATTGAGGTGGGAGACCCACTGTGATGTTTAGTCTCAGTTGTCAATTTGATAAGACCTAGAATTGCCTAAGAGATAGGTCTCAGTACGTGTCTGTGAGACACTGTCTCGATTAGGTTAACTGAGGTGAGAAATGCTGCTCACTCTGAGTGACACCATTCTCTGTACTGGGTTCCTGCACTGTGTGAAAAGGAGAAATTGAGCTAAGCACAAGCATTCATCACTCTCTGCTTCCTGGCTATGGATGCCATGTGACCAGCTGCCTTAAGCTTCTGCTGCTAAGACTATCTCATTCTGATGGTGTATTCCAAGACCATGAACCAAATAAATCCTTTTATTCTTAAGTTACTTTTGTCAGGATATTTTGCCACAGCAACAGAAAAATAAACAAGATGTTGCCCAATTCTACCAAGCCTTAAAAAGCTAACATCAATATTCTTAAAATTGTTGCACAAAATAGAAATTGAAGAAACACCATCATACATACACACACACAATGCACACACACTTGTACACACATGCAAATTATAGATGAACTTCTTTGATGAACATAGGTGCAAACATTCTCAAAACTTAAAAGTCATATTTAAGGACACTATGACCAAGCTGGTTCCATCCCAGGAATGCAAAGTTGGTTCAACATCCACAAATCAATAAATGTTTTAATATAACTAATAGATTTAAAGACAGAATTCACACGATCATGGTGTTCCTCAAGTCAGTTTAATGAGGATCCCTGGAGAGGGGAAGGAGGTTCTGCACATTCACTACAGTTGCTTTATTTTTCCTGGAGCTTTTTCATCTCAAAGGCCTTGAAAGAGAAAGGGAGAAGGGAAAGTGACCGGTCCCAGGGAAACTGCTTATGGTGGAAGTCCGGCAAGAGCGTACAATCTTCTTGCATGTTCACCGGCAGGATTTCAGTCACATGGACTTACAGAACTGCTAGTCTACACTACGTAGCAACACCCTGTCTCAAAAGAAACAAAGAAGAAAAGGAGGAGTTAATGCTGTGTGCTTAATATTTGCATCTAATTGCTTTCCCCACTGTCTCCCCAGCGTCTCACCAAGCATCTCAGTGTAGCCTTGACTTTACAGCTTGTGTTTGGTTTGGTTAGCTGTAGATCCTGTGTTAGTTTGTCTTGATGTTTTGTCTAGAGTCCCACATCTCACAGACACTTCTGATGTCCAGATCATGAAGAAAGTCCATAGAGCCATTCAGCTTTTTGCCCTGAACAAACAAAGCAGACGGATGCTGTTTTTCCACAGCCTCTTCTCCTAGAAGAGCTTCCTGGAGCCGGCTGAGGCTCTCATGACTGATAGGGGTTCTCCTCTTGTAACATTTGATTTCCAGAGACCTTGGGCTTCTGACTTGGATTGCACTTGCCACTGGACAAGTAGAAAGATCATGGTGCTTGGAAAGTGTTTTTATTAAGCCCCAGTTGGGGGAAAAAAAAAAAAAGTGGAGGATGAGAGGTCTTCCATGCCGAATCCTTGGAGGACTTTAAGGACAGGGTGGGGTAGAAATGCCTGAGGGTGTGTGGGAATTGTGTCTCCCTAGAGGCTTACACTTTTGGAAAAGCTTTCATTTCCCTAGTGGTTCCTAACGTTCTTTCAACAAACCCCTTCCCACTGGGTCAAGGGCCTTTTAGTAGCCAAGGGCTGTATTGTCTCCTGCAGCTAAAGATTAGTTCAGCCTAGTTAAAACTTCAGTTTTGAATATAGTCCTCACAAACTTCTTTTCTCCTAGAGGATTGTGTGTGTGTGTGTGTGTGTGTGTGAGTGTGTGTGTGCCCCCAAGTGTATGTTGGGGACAAGAGACGGGTTTGCAGTTGGGAAGCACTCTTTTTTTTAATTCTTTTTAAACACCCGCTTCCTTTCTCTGAGCCTGGTTCTCTGAAGCTCACACCTGGTAGATGGAGAGGGGGCCAAAAGGTTACCTGCTCGGGTGGCTGCCTACCTCCAAGCCAGTCTCTCCTATCTGATGTTCCTTCTGCTGACCCAGCTCCCTACGCAGGGGTGGCATGGCCAGGTGGAGGCCCCATCGCAACCCAATGCTATGCAGTTCTGTAGGACGTGCTGCTTGTGGCAGATTTGCTGAGCTTTCCCGTGAGCTCTGTCTGGCCCCCACGGCGTTTCTTGGCTGTGGTGGCCTCTTTGCCTCATGCTGAAAAGAATCTTGCCATAACTGTAGGCTCGGTGTCCCCTTTAAACTGCAGGAAGTGCAAGATGCACCCTGCTTATGTCTGGGCAACCAGAACCTCCTGTCCCTAACTCCTGGGCTACACCATCTTTCTGTCACTCTGCCCTGTGCACTTTCTGTTCTCAGTAAGTCCCGGGGCTTAGGGGACATGCAGCAGGGTCACAAGAGAATTTCCCCTCTTTAAAGTGACTCCCTCCCCAGTCCCCCAGCTTTCTAAGCATTGATTTATGTTGTTTGATGTTGTGGCTGGTTTTGAGACAGGCTCTTGCCATATAGTCCAAGCTGGTCTTAAACTTTTTGATCCCTCTGCCTTAGCCTCCCAAGTGCTGGGATTCCAGATATGTACCACTCCCCTCTGATCATGGACAGGTGAGGGGCAGGCAAACACCCTCCCTCCCTTCTCTACCCTCACCATCATTAGCTACCCTGAACATGACTTCCTCCATAACACAGCCTGCCTGCTTTGTAGATCAAGGGAGCCTTGGCTCCTCAAAGCATGAGGTAGATTTCTCCAGGCCTGTGACTCCTGTGAGGCTAGAGTAAGAGGCTCTCAGCAGCCTTTTTCTCAGCTGTGGGCTCCAGTTGCCAGTTCTGGGAAAGACAGAAAAAGCTTGTTAAATTTTTGGAGAATAAAAGGGAAGATAGAGGAGTAGGAGACAAGAACCCAGAGCCAGACCTGCAACAGGCAAGGAATAGATCATCCTTTATTCAAAGAAGATACGGCGAGAGGTAGAGGCTGTCCGGGGAAACCAAGCTTCTACAACTAGACAAAGAAAAGGGGGGGTTTATACTAGGGTTGTGGGGCACAGCTGCACTTAGTGGGGAGTCGAGTTAGCCCAGGCTTAAAGGTCTCCTCAAGACTGTTTCCCCGGGAACTGGCAGGAATGTTATCTGCGGCCTTAGAGGAGACGGGTGGGCTCCACACACATTTCCTCTCAGGCTTGGGAGTGACCAACTGAGAAGGGATGAGCAGAGCCAGGCCTTTAATCCATAGCTGTTAGGTCACTGGGGAAAGTTTGTACATTTACAATTTAGAGCCTTTCGGCTTTAGAGCCTTATGCCTTTAAGGCTTCCTCTAAGGAAGCTCATGGTTCTTCTGAGGTTTGCATAGTCTATCAAAGCCCATTAGCACCTTTGTCAACTGCTGCACGAGCTTTCCCAGAATCCGTGCAAATCGAAGGTGTCTGTATCTCATTTGTGACAGTCACCTTGGGAGAGGCATCGAAAACTCCCTTTCTTCGAGTCCCAGCCTTCAGTTGGTAGAAGCAGAACCTGACCTCTTACTTCATCTGCCTTTCCAATTTGAGGTTTAAGATGCTAAACGATGAGAACTCCAGCCATCTCCTGTACTTCAACTGTGCTCTCAGGTGGTTTGCTCTGAGAATGGATGTCCTCATGAACATCGTCACCTTCATCGTGGCCTTGATGGTGACCTTGAAGTTTGCCTCAATCAGTGCTTCCTCTAAAGGCCTGTCATTGTCTTACATCATCCAGGTAACAGCTGGTGCCTGCTTGAATTTGACCTGGCAACTCTGGCCTGTGGTATATTAGGACGGGTAGTTTCAGATGGATGCAACAGAAAATGCAAAAAGGTTAAAAAACAGAGTTTAGACGTTCACATTATTTAAAAATTTGGGGCAGTTGTGTGGGCTTCAGGCATAGTTGGAGCTTGGCTCTTGGTTCTGTCCCCTCCTGTGATGTCTCCCTCTTAGCTGTGCAATGGTGACCAACGGTTTCAGGTCTACAGGATGAGGACAGCAGGAGACAACATTTCTTTCCTTCACCACTGAAACAAAAGCCTGAGCTTTATTCTCGTTGGGTTGACGTAGGCATCCAAGAACTAGTTAGTGCTTTGGTGGGAGTGGGGTCGTACATTCAGGCCAAGGGGTGGAGTGACGTCCATCCCACCCCCAGTCACACAACTGTTTCACAATGGGAAGAGTGACATGAATGCCGGAGAGGCAAGAGCCATATCTGGCAAAGGATTACTGACTGACAGCTCCTTGGCAGCTTGGGTGTTTCTTCCGAATAATAATGTAAGAGGTGAGCATGGTAAATGAGCTCCTTTCCTTCCCTCAAGAACCTTGTGACACTTCCATAAGTCCTACTTTGCGGTGAGAAAACTGAGATGAGAGACATGCACCTGTTGTGTGTGGCTATGATTTAAGCTGGTGTTAGTCTGAATCCCTTCCCTGGGTATGTGTTTCCAGGTGTCCTCTCTGGAAACTTTCCCCATTAAGTCCTTTCCTTTGGCACCCTGAAATTTTAAGACAAGGTATCTAATTGTGGGTTTTTTAAAATATTCTGCTCAACAAAGTAGGTCATTATTAATATTGTTGTTGTTGTTAGAATTTAGGGTACAGAAAAGAAAGGGAGCAGGGAAAGGGACCAATGCCAGACCTTTCAACAGATGAAGACTGCATTTATTCAAGGCCCAGGGAGTGACAGCAGTCTCCTCGAGGGATTTGAGCTACTGCACCAAGGAGGAAAAGAAATACAGCTTTCTAACATGGGAAAGGGGCTTAGGTGGACACAGGTTAGAACAGATGCTGAGGGTACGTGTAGGTTAGGACTTTAATAGTCTGTGGCACCCTTTTTCCTGGCACCATCTGCTTCAATTTATCTTGAGGGCAAGGGGTTTATGGACCTCTTCTTCCTGGGACTGTTTGCTCTGGTTTATTTTGAGAAACAAAGGATTTACAGTATCTTCTTCCTAGAACCCTTTGTTCAAGCTCATCTTGAGAAACAAGGAATGTGGCTACTTCTTAACAGTGGGGCAGGGGTAAGACATCTGTCTCAGGGAACTTCTGTCAATTTTTACTTTGAGCCAGGATCTCCCTATGTAGCCCAGGCTGGCTTGGAATTGGAGCGCCACTTGCCTCAGCCTCCCAGGCCTGGGGTTATAGGCATGCTCCACCATGTTTTGTGTACCACCATTGTAGGCTCTGTGAATCCTTTCAGATGAAAGCCAGATCTCATTTCAACTCAGAAAGTATTCTCCTTTTGCCTCTTCACTTGGACAGTCCACGCCTGTGCTGTTTTCTTTCTGTGACTCACACTGGGTACATACTAGATTTCTTGCATCCCTCTTCCAGTTTCTTTCAACATTTTCTTTCTTTCTTTTTAAATATTTTTTATTTATTAGTTTTAGTTGTGTGTATGAGTATATTGCCTGCATGTATGTGAGTACACCTGTGTTGTGCAGTGCCCACGGAGGACAGAAGAAGCTGTTGGATCCCCTGGAACTGGAGTTACAGACAGTTGTTAGCTGCCGTGTGGGTGCTGGGATTCGAACCTGTGTCTTCTGAAAGAACAGTCAGCGTTCTTAGCTGCCGAGCCATCTCTCCAGCCCCTCTTTCAACATTTCTTATCTTATGCCTTGCTCTGAGAATTTTCCTTAGCTTTGCCATCCTGTGTGGCAAATTTACGAATTTTCTTAGGAATTTTCAGTGTGGAAATCCTGTATTCACATACCAAACTTCCACAAACTTATCCTTTCAGTTCTTAAGTGGATGGAACATACTTTTATTTTTTCTAAGGATAGTAATACTGATGCGTTCCCCTGGTTTCATACTCCTTCTCTAATTTATATCTGTTTCCTCCCATGTCAGTTTTTCCTCTTGTTCATCCAGTTCTTGGTCTTTCCTATCTTTGCTTTGTTCGCCTGTCTCTTGACTCAGTTGTATTTGAGAATGGAGAGTAGTTTGACTTCTCAGGGTTGTGGCTGTTCCCTCGCTGTGATGTTCTTTCTCTTCATGGGCTGGGGTGGGGCTTTTCCATACACTTGTAGACATCAACTTTCCTTTGGGAAAGTGGCCAAATGGGGCTTGCAGGCCCTAAATGCTAGATCTTTACATTTCCCCCCATTTATTCCCCAGAATATGTGTGTGTGTGTGTGTGTGTGTGTGTATGTGTGTGGTGTGTGTGTGTGTGTGTGTGTGTGTGTGGTATGTGTGTGTGTGTGGTGTGTGTGTGTGTGGTGTATGTGTGTATGTGTGTGCGCGCACACACACACATGCCTAGGGAAAACTTGTGGTTCGAGGGAAGATGAGAACAGAATGACTGGGTCCACCAGAAGCAGCTGTCTGTAGACTATCAACCACCTTCCTCTTTGTGGGCCTGCCCTCACATGTGGCGCCTCTCCTGGCTCAGCTCTAAGCTCTGGAAGCACTTATACCTTCTATTTCTGTTTTACCAAAAGTTCTCATCTGATACTTTCTTTCTGGCAGAAATCTGTAACTTTCATGCCATGAAATCTCTTCCCATCACCTTGATGTTGAAGGCACTCTCTGCTCATGTCTCTAATATTTTAATGGCATGCTGGGGAGGTGGGAATATGAAACACATTCTCCTGCTCTACCTGAGGTGGGAAAATGGATTTCTCTGGGTAGCCAGTTCTCCTCACTTATGGTAGATGTTGTCATTGGTTGCTGCCTCATAAAGTATCAAACAGATGGAGATGTTTTTCTTAATTGGTCTAAGTAAAACTAAGGCCATGCTTTTGGCAAAACCATCTTTCCAGGAGACAGCTGACAGCTGACAAACATCCCTTCAGGGCTCCAAGAAACCACACACACACACACACACACACACACCACACACACCACACACACACACACACACCCACCACACACACACACACCACACACACACACACACCACACACGATGTTTAAGTAAGTTGGGCCACATTCATACCTATGCTGGGGGTACAAGTCGCCTACTCACTGCAGGCTAGACATGTGTGACAGCCAGGCAGAACTTGCACTGTATACCTCAGGCAGGTTTGAGCTTTAGTTTTCTCAACTGTAATGTGGAAAAATACAAAGCCTCTGCCAGTAGTAACACTAACACTCAAAGTGGAGGTAAGAGGATCCCAAGTTTGAGGCAAGTCTGCACTATATACTGAGACTATCTCAAAAATACATCAAGCCTCACAGGATTTGCAATGAGGATTAGAAAAAAAGTTGGTTGGAAGAATGCTTAGCAGACCAGAGGCATGAAAACACTAGATATTAGAAGCTGAGTAGGCCCACCTCATCATTCAGCACAGAAAGAAACACTGGTAGGCGTAAGTGGTACCAAGAAA